GAGGACCGAGAGTTTTGCTGGGTATAGTAGCCTGGGCTGACATCTGTGTTCTCTTAGGGTCTGCATGATATCTGTCCAGGCCCTTCTGGCTTTCATAGTCTCTGTTGAGAAGTCAGGTGTGATTCTAATGGGTTTGCCATTATATGTTATTTGGCCTTTTTTCCTTGCAGCTTTTAGTATTTTTTCTTTGTTCTGTGTACTTACTGTTTTGATTGTTATGTGGCAGGAGGATTTTCTTTTCTGTTCTAATTTATTGGGTGTTCTGTAGACCTCTTGTATTCTTATTGGCCTCTCCTTTAAGTTGGGGAAATTTTCTTCAATGATTTTGTTGAAGATATTTTCTGGGCCTTGGAGCAGGTAATCTTCTTTTTCCTCTATTCCTGTTATTCTTAGGTTTTGTCTTTTTATATTGTCTTGAATTTCTTGGATGGTCTGTGTCAGGAATTTTTTAGATTTAACATTTTCTTTGACAGATACATCAATTTCTTCCATTGTATCTTCCACACCTGAGATTCTTTCTTCCATCTCTTGTAGTCTATTGGTTATGCCAACCTCTGTAGTTCCTGTTTCCTTCCCTAAGTTCTTTCTCTCTACAATTTCCTCCATTTATGTTTTCTTTAATTTTTCCAATTCTATCTTCAGATCTTGAGCCGTTTTGTTGATTTCCTTTACCTGTCTGACTGTATTTTCCTGTGTTTCCTTCAATTCCTTCAGCTGTTTGTTTGTTCAATCCTCTGTTTCTTTTATTTCTTTCAGTGATGTAAGCATTTCCTCTCTACAGGCCACAAAGTGTTTGGCTCCAACTTCCTCTATTTCTTTACTGATGGCCATAATCTGTTTGAGTTTATCTTCCTTTAGTTCTTTACTCATTTTATGTGTTTCCTCTGTTATAGATGTTAGGTCATCTTCTTGGATTTCAATTATTCTGGGGTGTCCAGGGCTACTTGCCCCTGGATAACTGGGTTCTGGAGATGCCATAATGCTCTGTCTTTTGTTGGTTGAGATTTTACGCTGGCCTCTACTTGTTGGGCTATCTTATGTGTTTGGAGTCAGTTTCTGATGGTTCCTGGGATCCTGTGGTGGAGAGAATCCCCTTGGCAGGAAGATGGATTTTCCTGAAGAAAGCCTTCTCACCTTTTTGGGTACAGTCACTGGGTGGCCGGTGATTTTCAGGAATTGCCGCTGCTCACCTCAGGCATAGAGACCTGAGTGGTAACTGTGGTCCTTGTTAGTTGAGATGGCTCTCCTTTCACCCAGAGAAGTCCTAAAGACAGCTGCTCTGCTTCTGGGTTTCTTACTGTAAATTTAGTGATTTGCTGCTGTAACCTGTGTGTCCCTTGGTTTGGTAAGTTTTGTTAGGGGTATCTGGTTGCCCCTTGGGGGTTGATCTCAGGGATTCCGGGCTTCTGTAGGTCTGAGGTTGGGTCTCTGTGTCCCAATACCCAAGCAGTAATCTGTGGTGGGTGGGTACCACTCTCCTGATAACAGCAGGTTATCTGGAGCAAGTGTTCAACTTTTTATTCAGAAAAATACATAAAAATGCCAAATTAACTACATTTCCTGCATAAATAGAGATTTTCACCAGAGAGAAGCTACAAACATATTTCTCAAGGACCGAGGAAGGCTGTGGAAAGCATTTCTATTAAAGTTTTTTATGATACTGTAAATTCTTTCAATTATTTTGTAAGAAAAAATATTGGGAGTTAGAATGAACTCAATTGTAATTAACCATATATAAATATTGTTATTAACCATATATTTTTAAAAAACAATTATTTCTATGATATGTTGGCTTCTGAGCATATTACCACATGCCAAAAATTCAATTAGTTAGTGGTCTGACTCCCTGCCCTGGTACTGCTGGATAGTTAATCCTTGCTTAGCATTGCCATGTGGCCATGAGTTGTCAGTCAAAATCGTGTTTGTTTGGTTTTGGTTTGCTTTATAATAACTCTTTTCATTAAAAGTGTAAAGGTGGATCCAGAAACTGATTTTTTTTTTGATGTTCAATATTTTGGTAAAATATTTACTGAAATAGTGATGCTTAAATGAAAGCTACAATGATGTTAACATTTCCTCTCACACAAAAGGGGTGCTGGGAAAGACGGCTCAGTGCTTAAAAGCACACACTGCTTTGCTTCCATGTCTGGATGGATGCTCATGACTGTCAGTCTCTCCAGCAACTCGGGCCTCTGGGAGTACCTTCACTCACACAGACTCATCCACACACAAGCAGCCAGAAAGTTAAAAATATTAAATATAATTTCCAAAAGTCAGGGGGCGGGGTAGGGCTGTATGTGCTATGTCATCTCTAAAAGAAAAGGAATGATGACATTAACAGACCGCCTGCACTTGGGTTTGTTAAAGAAGCATTTGCAGCCCAGGCTTATAGAAAAAAACTTGGTACAAGGAAAATTCTGAATTCTTTTGGGTCTAACTACAGTTGTTATGACTAAACTCCACTGGAAAACCCCAGTGAGTTTGTTGCCTCTGACTCTTTCTGAGGATGTGAGAGTTGATAGCCAGCCATCACTGTAAGGGTGGGAAGTCAAGCAGGGAACTAAGGAAAGAGAAAGATGAGACTGGGTTATGTCACAGGGGTGTTAAGCTGAGGGGCTTAAGAGTAAACATGCCAGAAGGGATTTCTGGGAAGGGAGAACACTAAGACGGAAATTATTGTAAGCTCTAAACCTGGAGAGCAGAGCAGACAGAAGGGCTGTGGTCTACAGTGCAATGTGTTCCCAACCCAGGAAACAGTAGTCTGCTTGTAAAACAGATTGGCCGCTTCTCTGAAATATGAGGGGAGCGAATAGTGCTATGTATGGGAGCAGGCACATACAGAATTGTCAAAATTGATGCAAAGATAAATCAGAGCCATATCCTGATCCATCAGCATCTTCTAGTCTGGTTCACTTTTTTTCACCCTCTCTCTGGGATTTACTAATTTTTATTTGCCTTTGAGGCTGTCGTAGGGATGAAGTGTAATCCCCATGTTTGTAGAGTGACTAGTATTTGTCCATGATACCACCTTAAGGAGGTACCCGGTAACTAACACAGTTATCACATTATCCCCTCAGACATTATGACTCAGAGCCAACATTCAGATGATGTGTTTGGAGGGGCGAAGCTGTTCCTCTGAGTCATATTAGGATTAGGGGATGATGTTTCCTGAACTACTTAATGAGGAAGTAAAAGAAGCTTTAAGGAGTCACAAGGAATAGCTTGGAAGAATAAGTCACAACTTGTCTACATTTTATACTGACAATGGATTCCAGCTTTGGAAAAACCACCTTCAATGGAAACCAATGTTTGCATTCGTTGGCCACCAACTTGTAAGGGGTAGCCTCTCCAGGAAAAACAGCTTCGCAAGATCTTTAGAGATCACCTAGAAAATTATGCAGTTATGCTGAGAAGAATTCTCTTACTAGTTTCCTCCTCAGACACCAGTAAGGCTTGCCATCTGAGGCAATGCAGAGTCACAGGCCTTCACCATGGCTCTAAGGCTCTAAGTGTTCTTCTAATTGTAATATCTGCCTAAGCACATCTCAGTAAATGAGTACAGTGCTTAGCTTAGCATGTTTCTGACTGAGATGGTCATAAGAATGACTGTCATCACTAACACAATGCCAGACCCCTGCTAACAGCCCCTTATTCTCTTCATTACCATTTGTAGGACATGCTCATCCTGCAGTCCTTTCATGGGAAGGACAGACCACACTCTCTGCTATCCCCTTTCCATTTCTCTCTCTTTAGTAATCCTGGGAGAAGGAAGAGCCCCAGCTTACCTTGATCTCAACCCCTCTTGCCTACAGCGATCTGGCCTATTCTGTTCTGCATGTATCAAGGTCACCATTTCAGAAGTGGAACCCAATGAGACTGCTCTGGGGCAGGCTGAACAGATGCTCTGCTTTGGCTGCATTGGGGATGAAGTCAGTATCCTGATTCCACCTTCCGTACAGCTCAGCTTTCCAGCTGGGTCTAACCTGGAGGAGGGTGAGGGCAGTGCCATTATCTATCAGCTGGTCCCCAACACGGCACAGGCACGGAGGTCCTTAAGCCCCTTTTCCTAGCAAGGACCTGCTGCTAGGTTAGAGGCTGGCTGGTGATGACCCACTGCAGCATCCAGCTGATACTGATGTTTGCGGCAGCGACTGAACAGGGGAACGCTGGAGGGCAGACATTCCTGCCCATGGCCAGGCTCCTGGTCAGTGCCTTCTCAGCACTCTCAGATTTTTCTCAGGCTGCACCACACATGGAAACTCTTCCCAGCTAATGCCCCTTCTCTGTCTCCTGCTCCTCCCCTTTGTATCCTTCACAGCCTTCCCTTCAATAAATATACACTTCTCCTTCCATAGGGGAGAAGAAGATTTTTCATCAAGACCTAAGTGACAGCACCAAGGTGACCAACTCTTTTCACTAAGCAAGGAGTTGGAACTCCAAGCAAGCAAGTAGAAGATGTACATTCTCCACCATTCAGAAGCTGTGCACTGAAAACTTGCCCCATCCACCTTTCAGAGAAAATTTGAATGGCTGTATTTTGTGCTAAGGCTGCTAAAAACAGCATCATTCCTTCAGAAACCAGAGCCCAACAAGACTTGCCCAGTCACTGTAAAATGCATAGATACATTGGCCTGTAGAAAATAAAAGAGAGATGTTTGCAGCATCACTGATGAGGTTTGATTCTGGAAACCCTGAAAACATGTTCATGAGAAAAACAAAGGATTTGAGAACATCTTCCTTTTAATACAACTCACACAATTTCATCTTATAGAAGTACAAAATGAGCCATGTAGAGAACTTGATTTTTTCCTAAGACCTGTATGTTTTCTTTTTCTTGAACACAACAAATCTCATTTCTCATATCACGAAAGACACTGAATATATAAGGAAAGCATAATAGAATGATTCTTTGGAATTTTTAAGTGATGAGAATATCTAAATGTAAAATGCACATAATTTACAGATTAAATGAAGGGTTGTCTTCAATGCACAAGACTCACCTTCACTGGAGTCTTTTGAACTTTCTGGTTTCTTTGCTTTACTCTTCTTGTGGGGTGGAGAAAGGCCTTTAGGCTCTAGCCCTTCTGGAAGTAAAAAGATATTCTTATTTAAATATTTAGCAGTAAGTTCCAGAGTGTGTTAAAATTGAAAGCTGTTTTCTTTGTGTTAACCTCCCCCACCCCACATTTATTGAGCGTTAACTACAGATTCATCTGTCATTATGGCTGAACGAAAGTTTGGCAGGAAGCTTGGATTCTCCATCCTACTACATAAGCTTAAACTCAAGCTCCAATGATTTTCTGTAGGCGTCATTAATGATTCATGTAAATGTCAAATCATACACAAGTGCTTTTAAAAAAAATGAACAAGTCTTCAAAAAAGAAGTCCAATAGATTCTGCTTTTTAATCTCATGGCTTAGCAGGTACCATTGTACCTTTCATCATGGTCCTCAAAGGTGGTCAAAAGAAATACAATGTCATCTCAGTTCTGAGGTAACAGGGGCACTGGAAAAGATTCTGTTTCTATTCAACAGGCTTCTTTTATAGTCTAGAATCTAAGAAGCTTTCTCATAGGTCCCCTATTAAACTACTGTGTTTAACAATTTTTTCAGTGTTTTCCTAAATCTACCTATAGGGACTAGTAAAGATGGAAGAAAGTATGAAGAAACATCTCTCAGTCTACCCCTCTGATTAGAATGTCTCCAGCTTTGCATTACATAGCCAGCCTCATCTTCATCACAGCATGGTTTTGGTTTGGGGCTGGGTGTCTTCTGTTTGCCTTCCCATTTCATTCTCAAGCTGTTAACAACTCCTTCTGCACCCTAACATTGTATCTTCTAGCCTGTGTCAATGAACTCCTGGATACACTGATCCTCCTACTTATCTTCGGTCAGTGGGGAACCCCAAAAATCTACTTTCTGAAATGCTAGTACTCTTTGTGGGATGACTGGGGCCTCAGCTAATGTTCGAGTCACCATCAGCTGACCTTCCTCACAGTTCCTAGGTCCCAAGGCCAATCTTACGATTACCACATGCAAGGCTTGGGCTTGTGTGCCTTACCCTCCAAGTCCTGACAGTTTCTTTTTACTCAGTCCACATTAGGAATCTCAAACCTAAAACCAGTCAGAACTACACATTCTGTGTACAAACTTCTCTGTGGTACTGCATGTCTGGAAGCGTGGCATTGTATATTATATACCACACAGTATAAACTAAAACCTGGGAATCACCATCAAACTTATGCTCACCTGCTCTCAAGTCATGCCATCTCTGCTCTGACATAAGCCAGAGCCATCGATTTTTAATTGTCCGGGCACTTGAGTCAGAAGCACTACTTGCTGCTTCTCAGTTCTTGCCTCTAGCCTTCTAATCTCTTTAAGAACCTTGCTTCTGCTTCTGCACACAGTCAGCTTTTTAAAACATAACTCAGACCTGGGTGCTCACCCGTTTAAAATTGCTAGAGTAACACCCTTATTCACGCCCACTACAGAGAACAATGCTCCATTTCCCCCATTGACATCTATAGTTTCACTTCTCACTTGCCTTTTATCCTTTCTTTTTGTTTTGTATGGTTGGATGTTTCATGTGCATGTATGTCTCTGTACCACATGTCAAGTGTCCTCACAAGCCAGAAGAGGGTGTAGGATCCTCTGGACCTGGAGTTACAGACAGTTGTGAGCTGCCATATGAATGCTGGGAATTGAATTTGGCTTCTCTGGAAGAGCAGCCAGTGCTCTTAACTGCTGAGCCATCTCTCCAGCCCTTCTTTACTTTATTTTTGAACCACAGTTAGGCTGATTCCTGACTCAGAACTGCTTCTGCTATTTCCACTCTAATATGCCTGACATATTTCTGCCTAATTTGGGGTTTTCATTTTTACTCTGCTTTTCAGACCAACTTCAGCTCCTCCCCACACTATCCTGGAAAGGTTCTCCCTGACCACATAACGTAAAGAGCCTATAAGGAAAGCTTAACACATCCCCAGCGTCTGCTATTATCTTCTCCCTTGTTGCTGTCTCTCTTGTACATTTATATGCACACACCCAACTCTACGATCCATGGGAAAATGGCACTTCTCTTTTCAAATCATCTCCGTATCCTTGGTGCTGAGCAGTGCAGTGGGAATTTCATTTTAGAGCCTCTTTTATTTTTGCTTCATTGGTCCTTTCTTTAAGTCTAAGATATAATAGGTCTATGTCTAATTCTCATTCTCTTAGCAGCTGTTGCCTCATTCCAGAATTCTAAAATTACACCATGGAACTGTGTCTAACTCTTTCTTCCCTTCTTTCTCTCATCTATTAAGAAATGTAACAACAACAAAAAACCCCACACTGGATAGATGTGCTATCAAAAATTTTGGCATCATAGACTACAGAGGTTTGGGGCACAAGGCTAGGTTTTATGTGGTCACAAGTCTGTCACGGCTGAGGTTATTACAATGGCCAGGATGAAAAATATTGGTGATGACTGAATTAGAGACTTCCTGACTTCTGTCACAGGTATGAGATGTATGCCGACCCTTTAGAAGGTTTCAGCAAAACCAGAAATGAGGTCTTTCGAACAGCTTGTTGCATACAAATATCAGGCCCACTGAGAGTCACAAAATGGGCAAGGTGACACTGTGATCTCACCTGGGAGATCTGGCCTCAACTGTACAGGAAGAGTCCTTCTGACCTGGGGCCAGGTGAAGGTCCAGAGATGAAAACGCAACTTCAAACCAGGGTTTCTTACTCCTGAGGGTTTTGTTAATTGCATTCCAAGTTTGTGATTTCCCACCTTTTAGAAATTCTTACAGTCTAGGTTAAGTTTTTCAAAGATACCTGTTTGCCTATTTTTAAAGATACTGCAATACCCACCCCCCAAATTTCTATTTTAAACTACTCCTTGGGTATTCAATGGACATGGGCATTGGTGAAATTTATGAGTATTTGATCACTTTCCAGTGACCACTGGGTGGTCAGATAAAAGTCACTCATAAACATGACCTCTGGGCAAATGTTTCTACCTTAGGCTTAGCGGGGAATTACTCCCTCTTGGTCTGAAGAGAAGCTCATTTTGTTTCTCTTTGAAAACAATGTCATATGTTTTCTTGATGAGTACTCTTTTAGGATGCTGTTTCTGGCAAAGAGAGGACTCTGGAACTTGGCCATGAGCATGGGCCCCTCCTTCCCTCCTCAAGGGGGGCAACATTGTGATGGTGGACATAGGCAGAGCCCTGCTGGCTCAGATTCGTCCAAATCAAGAGTATGTGGCCTTGGAGATGGAATGACATGGGAAACCATTTGCCATGCCTGAATTAAGCATGATTAAAGGACTAAAAAGAACTAAACTAAACTACAACTTTAAGTCAGCTGTGTCTTTCACCTCTCAAGGGGAGAATGTCACCTTGAAGACCTATCAGCTCCCCTGAGATGCTTATGCCTCCCTTTGCTCTAAGGATCTGGAGGCCAGAACAGAAAGTTAATTGCATGCATTCTGGGGTAAGACAAACTTGGATTTAAATTCTGGCTCTACTATTTAAGTAAGAATTAATGGAAGCCTTCACAAGGAAAGGTTTCTCTGTCAGTTGAGTACAAAATCAAGTCATGCACGTCCAGTAACCTGCACAGGTGAATGCCCAGTTGAAATGTGGTGTGCTAAGTGGTAGGCTAAGCTTGACCTGAGCCCACTCACACCCATCAATTGTGCTGCCTCTCCTCAATTCTCACTGGTAGCTTCGAAAAGTCCATGGCTGATATCATCACCCCTGCAGATATCTCCTCTGTCGGTGATATCAAACCACCCACAGAGCCTGCTGGCAAGCATTCATTGCTTTTTGATATTGTACTTTTTATTCACTGTCACTCAAATGCATCCATCATCTGTTATCAGGTTGAGTCCCTCGAATAGCCCTTTACCAGGTCAATTGTGTTCCTAACCACCTCTCTAGCTTTCCTACTTCAGTGAAAAGAGGTGATGCATAATGGAGGGAAAGCAGAAGTGAATGGTCCTAGGAGACAACCTGGACTCATCTTGCAGACCAACAGACTCCATTGTGAGATTAGAATGAAGCCATGTCTAGCAGGGCCAGCTGGAATGCTATGGATCATCCGGCACACAAGTCCCCCATGGTTTTGGCACTCAGACATTAGGAGATGGAAACTAGCTCCCCACACCCATTCTGGCCTCATGGATCACTGAGTGAGAGCCATCCAGATGTTGACAGCAGAACTCGCTGGAAATCTGATGGGACTGAAATCATAAATAATGATGATACTTCAGACCTCAAATGATGAATCCACCATGTGGAGTCCTCCTCCCTTTCAATGATTTCTTTAGCATGAATCAACGGCTTGCAAAGCTAGCTAATTGTAATTGAGAAGTCAAGTCCCTCTGCCTAGAAATGTGTACCTGTGGCACTGAGGCAAATGGTGCTTGGGAACATAGGACTGGCTGAAAAGGCAGAACCCCTGTGGCTGAAGGATCTGCCATGGATGCTTCACACCAGGCAATGCACAAGAATGGCTAAGAATAATGCTGAAATAGGCATGTGAATCTAGGACAGATTTTTAAAAATAAGACATTCTACATGGACATAAGAATTGAAGTTTTTATAGAAATTTTATCTTGGGCTTATGTCTCACAAAAATAAACAGAGTTCTTCTCTTCCATTACATTCTCCCAGGTGTAGATACTGGGACAAGGTTTTGAGTAGAAGTAGCTACTTTGGGAATTTATCTCAGGAAGTATTAGGAAAGGATACTGAAACAAGGCAGGAGAAGGAAGACAGACGATTCTGAATATATTCATGAACCAGTCTCACCATGGGCATCAGAAGCACAACTCTAGTGGAGACTGCTTGTGAGGGAATAAAATCATCTGTTTAAGATTCCAGCCAGGCAAACATTGCCAGTGAGAACTTAAATGTGCTTGCTTAATCTGAACTGAGATGTGCACACAAAATTCATGTGCATCTCAGAGAATTACTATTAAAACCTAGAAATGATGCTAACAGAATTTCTTTATTGATTACATGTTGAAATGATAACAATTTTGGATGACTGTTATATAAAATTTTACTAAAGATAATTTATTTGTTTATTTTTTAACTCAAGTACTAGAAAATATAAACTCACATACGAAGGGTATGTATTTCTACCAGACTCCACCACAACACAACCTCGAACTTGTCTCAGATATGTCTCGGTCTCTCTCCCTCTCTCTCTCTCTCTCTCTCTCTCTCTCTCTCTCTCTCTGTGTGTGTGTGTGTGTGTGTGTGTGTGTATTTTGCTGGGTACTGAACCAGAGTCTTTGTACAAGTCCTCTCACTGACAGACACTCATCTACAGGAATCCTGGTAAACTAATCCCTCTCCATAAGCTTGGAGGGTCATTTTACCCATCCCTGGTTGGCAAGTCACTCCATAGAAACTAACTCACTAGTGCGCTGGGTTTTCCTCCAAGAATAGAGAAAACCACCCAGCTGATGGCCATAGGAGCTATCATCAGGACATTTTCATTCAAAATCCATAGTGAGTGCTGAGGGAACATAGACAGAGCACCAACAGCTGTGGCTGCACTTCCTACTCCGCTCCCTCCATTCCTAATTCAGACTTGCAGATCCTTCACCCACTTCTCATATTAGCTGAATCCACTGTCTCTGTGGAGACAGGGGAACCTTGTAAGTCAGACATGTCCAGACTGTAGAAGAGTAGAAAAACCATGGCTATTGCTCTAATGACTTTTTAAGCAGGGAAAAACAAATACTGTTTCTCTATGTGGTGAATGGATTGACACAAGAGGAACAGAAGCAAATGAATGCAGAGATGTCCATTTTATTCAGCTCTCAATCAAACCCTTGACATCAGAATTTGAAGCTCTTAAATGGAACCACACAGACTAAGATTGTCAGTAACTTATAGACTACTCTGATCTAAAATTGTAGGAGACACAAGACTAAAATATTTGAGATGTTGGTTTTAAAATTTGAAAGGGGAAGACATTTTATGGCAAAAGCATTGATTGTTAAAATGGAGAAGGCAGGCCGTTTAATCCTATCAGTGGCCCCATGAATGAGAAAAAGACAACAAAAAGTAGCAACATAGTGAAGCTTTACAGAGAGCCAAGCACTGTGAACAACATTGATGGTACATTATCTCATTGAATCTTCTAAGTGAAACGATATGTGAGGATTATTGTCCCAGAGGTGAACCATGAATATTGTAGAAAGATACTCAGAGTTAACAAATGGTGTAGCTAGAACTGCATTCAAGTCTATTGATCCATGAATCACTATTTAAGGACATAGCGAGTGGCTCCCGTGGGCCCGAATTCACATTTTTAACCATGAGGTTTTCCTGTGATTCTCATCTTTCTTGAATAACATGCATATATCTTAATAATGAGAACAGTACGTGCTATGTGACATTCATCAAAGATAGCCCCAGGAACATGAGCTGTGAAGAACCACCACCGTCTAGAAGAGAGGAAACAATGCTGTGAGATGTCTAAACCTTTATCTTAAGAAGGTGAAGCGTCTCCCTGGCTCAGTGACTCCTTCAGGATGAAATACGCTGGCGACCATGCTGAAGGGTTTGCAGATCTTCTAGATCATTTAGAGCGCGCGAGTTTGGGAATTGCCCCCAACAAGGCTTAACCTAACTCAGCTGGGGCCACGCATCATCCAGGCAGGTAATTAAAGGATTGCTTGGAAGACCCCAGCCTCTAACTGCTTGAGGTCCAGATCTTACAAAACAGGATAAATTTCCTCTGCTCTGGAGTTCCTCAGATCCAGCTAATCAGCAAAGTGATCTGTTGTCTTGCATCAGGATGTGGTGTTGGTTCCTCTGCCATTTATGATACATGATGTTTTTTCTTTCTTTTCTTTTTGTTATTTACTCTGTCAAGAAGTTCAAAGTTCAATTTAATGCTTAAACATAGTAACTACATTTTCCTAAAGAGTTTCTATGGCTGCCACTATTTAATGATGTTGAACAAATATTTCTATTTTATTAATCTTATTATGTCTTTCTTTAAAAATTATAGGATTTGAATAAATTGGTCTCCTACTTTACCCTAAGAAATAAAATCACAACGTTCATACCTGCATCTTCTTTCATGTCAGCATCTGCTGCTCCTTCATTGTTATCCTCTGTTTGCAAAGGAAGGATAAAGACTCATATCAAAATAAGAAACACCAGAATCTTCCAATTTGATACATCAAATAACAAAAGCAGAAAGACAACAGGAATCAGAGTACTAAAGCGTCCATTTCTCCTGGGTCATCATGCTGAGTTTGAAGAAAGTACACCCTTAAGCAAAACTTAATGCCGAGGGCCACATTCTCCTTTATGACAACGTATCTGCACCATAATTTGCCTTACTAATACAAAGACTGTGTGGTCCCATTGGTCATTTCAATTATTTGTTACCCACAAACCTTAAACACTGTGCATCCCACACTCACAGACAGCATGTGTGCTCAGCTCCAGTGTCAGGACGGTGGAAACATTGATATGTGTTTCCTGCACTATGCTAGAAGAGCTGCTGCTGTGTTGTGGGACAGACCTTCCAACACCTGCTCCTGCAGACCCTGCTGGCAGCCTCTTTCTGTTCAGTTCCCCTCATTTTCCAGAATAAAGCCATCTAAGTGGACAAGAATGTGTGAATACTCCACACTGTGATGGCATGCTTGCTTGCTGGTTTATTCCCTCTCCCTTTTCTTCTTCCTCCTCTCCCCCCCTCGGTGTGTGTGTGTGTGTGTGTGTGTGTGTGTGTGTGTGTGCTGAGAAATGGTCTTCCTATGTAGGGCCCGCTGTGATAACGCCATGTAATCTATTCTCCCCGTGCTCCTGCCTCACTTGCATTCCACCATGCCCGGCTAGCCTTACTCCTTTGAACTCAACATGCTATGTCTCCTCTTGAATGCTCCTTTTATCTAGCGCCTCAGTCTGGAGGTGCATCACTCCTTTATATGTTGAGTCTTATCCCCAAAGCATGATCTTTGAAAGATGATTATATCACCAAGATGGACCCCTGATGACTGAGATCCATTGCCTTAAGACAGGAGTCAAGGGAAAAGAGCCCTAGTCCCTGCTGTTCCACTAAGAACATGGTGGGAAGATACTCTTTGTAAGGGACTGAGTCTAGAAGGCACTAGAACTGGAATTCTGGCTCATAAAGAGAAAGTACGTTTTTATAAGCCTCACTATTTATGTTTTTTTTTTTTTTTCAGCAGCTCAGACAGTAAATATGAGTCTCTGCCGACATGTTTGTTCCCTCTGGTCACTTTACTCTAATTCTAACCCTCTATGTTATGCATCTTGGAGATTTCCCAATTGCTCCTTTCTGTTTTCTTTCTCTGGCACAATTTCCTTTCACGTGTGGCTGCCAACTGAGTTTTAATACAGTTCTACTCTGATCTACAGTCTCACCATAACAGCCGCCTGTGCAAAGAGCAAAGCTGAAGCCTTCCCTCTAATACTTAAAGTCAACAATATTTGATTCCAACTGGCTTCCTTACTCTGTGACATTCATGTTATCACCTAGACAGATGGCAAAACTCAACTACTTTCTGTTTCCTCAAGGTATTATTGCTATTCGTCTGTTTTATTTTGCTATAACAAAATACTTGAAGAGGGTACTTTACAGATACAAGAGGTTTATTTAGCTCACAGGTTTGGAGGACAAAAGTATAAGATAGTGAAATCCCATCTGTTCAGGCCTCCATTGAGAGCTGTCAGCCATGTTATGATACGGCAGATGGCATTACAAAATAAGCACACACACTTGTTAAGTGTAAGTGAGAGAGAGCAGGGAATGGCACAGCTCTCTTCTTCTCTCCTATAGCAAGAATCTGGGCACTAACCAAGTCCTGTGAGGACCACTCTGATGTCTTCCTAGGGTAGTGTCCACATGATCTGAATATCTTTAAATTGCCCAGTATCTTGGTACCATTACCCTGGAGACCACGTTTCTAGAGCACAGACCTTTGGAGGATAAACCACAGTATTTTCTTTTAGCTTCCTCTATCTGCCTTATTCCTGGTAGCAAAACCATCTCTGTCTCTTTTATCTATACCCTTCAAGGCTAACTTTGCATTTTCTGATACAGGTATACAGAGGTTTCACTGAGAAAGACAAGAGGGGGCTGATCAGAAAGGATGTGTGCCGAGGCTTTCCAGACCATCCATGTGAAAACATACAAGTTTCAGTTAACTACTCATTTTTATGGACCTCAATTTTCACTGTCTTAGGAATACATGCTCTAAAGACATTTGAACTCAGGTCTGCCTACTGAGTTCACCTGTTTTACTGGTGTGTTGTCTTGAAGAAGTTGCTTATTCTTCCTGAGCGTCGGGTTCCTCAGTCACAATGAGCAATGATAACAGTGTCTATTACATAGACTAGTCCTAAGGACTGCATTAGATGATGCCATGTAACACACTAGAACAGCCATTGAAACATCACCAAGCGCTCAATTTTCTGTTTCTAAAAAACGCCATAATCCAGCACTTGTGAATGTGTGTGCCTTCCAAATGCTCACCTCATGAACGCTATGAGAATAAAAGCCGTATCTTGTGTTCTTTTGTTTTTCTTGGTACACAGTGCCATTAATTTTAGTAATAAAGACCTTTCCAGGAAATGGCAAGCAACCATGTCATCTTAGGAAAGTGACATGAAACAGTACAACTGGGGTGTGAGGCTGTGCATGCGGGCAGACACGCCAGACACATAGCTCGCACAGAATAAGCTTTTCAAGCTACTAATTTTTGCGTAATCTGTCACTAGCATTGTACTTCTGCTGCTGTGGTAGCCACTTAGTAAGCCCTAGCACAGAGAACAAGCTTAATACTCCTCCATGACTGAGCTCAGGGACCCCTTTCTTCAGAGAAATCACAAAGCGAGTCATAATAAGCACACCTCAGGCGGCAGAACGGGAAGCAACAGGCTGCTGGGGGAGGAGAGGCTTTATCACAGACAGACAAGAGACAGCAAAGTCAGAGGAAGTCCATAAAAGCTTTCCAGAGGAGGTGAAGGGTCATCTAAAGGATAAGCCGAAGCCCATAGGAGATAAAGAAAGGCAGAAGTTGATTACCAGAAAAGGTAGTCTCATTATGTAAACCAGGCTGGCCTAGAACTCACAGAGCTCCACCTGCCTTTGCCTCCTGAGTACTAGGATTAAAGGCGTGCACTACTATCAGGCCACGAGAAGAGAAGAAGGAGGAGCTACAATTGGGATGTAAAGTGAATATATAAATTATAAATAATTTTTAAGAAAGGTAGCCTCTTGGCTGCACACCCTTCTTCATTGACACTTTAATTGCACATGAGCTTGACAGTCTACCGTGTGGGTCATTTGCCTGAGAGTTTTCTCTGATGTGTAGAGCTGGCTCAAGAAATTCCATAAGACGAATACATCCTAGGAGCCAGCCTACCACACGTGAGTGACAGCTCCTTGCTTCTCAGTCTCATCTACAAATACTCCAAGTTTGTTCCACATGATTTCCATTAAGTTCCCTTTCCTCCTTGAACTTGAGACCAGAGGCAGAGTGTTAAGTGGTTCAGAATTTAACAGATTGACTTTCTTTCCTTTCCACTTTCTCTTCTGCTGGCTTTTCCTGGGATTGCCTTTTTTTCACCTTTATTGGGTATAATTTACATTCTTTTTTAAAAATTCTTTATTAATTACACTTTATTTACTTTGTATTCCCCCCTGTGGTTCCCTCCCTCCTCCCGTCCCAATCCCTTCCTTCCTCCACCAACTGCATGCATGCCCCTCCTCAAGTCCACTGAGGGGAGGTCTTCTCTTCCTTCCTTCTGATCCTAGTCAACTAGGTCTCATTAGGAGTGGCTGCATTGTCTTCTGTGGCCTGGTAATGCTGCTTCCCCCTCAGGGGGCGGTAATTAAAGAGCAGGCCAATCAGTTCATGTCAGAGACAGTCCCTGTTCCTATTTCAATGGAACCCACTTGGACACTGAACTGCCATGGGCTACAACTGTGTAGGGGTCTTAGGTCCATGCATGGTCCTTGGTTGGAGTATCAGTCTCAGGAAATACCCCTATGCTCAGATTTTTTGGTTCTGTTGCTCTCCTTGTGGAGTTCCTGTCCTCTCTAGATCTTACTGTTTCCCACTTCTTTCATAAGATTCCCTGCACTCTGCCTAAAGGTTGCACTTAAGTCTCAGCATCTGCATTGATAGTCCAGAGCCTTTCAGAGGTCTGGAATTGCCTTTTAAGTAAAGTTTCTGAACAATTGAATCCTTGCTTCAAGACAAGCTTCTCTTTCTTCTCTTCTCTTATCCTCCTCTCCTCTCCTCTCCTCTCCTCCCCTCTCCTCTCCTCTCCTCTCCTCTCCTCTCTCTCTCTCTCTCTCTCTCCCTCCCTCCCTTTCTTTCTTTCTTTCTTTCTTTCTTTCTTTCTTTCTTTCTTTCTTATTTTCTTTCTTTCTTCACACAGAGAAGGGAAACACTTGGAAATATGTGTACAAGAACAGTCAAAGAACCCTCAATGAAATTAAATTAGTTCTGAACGGCTGGAAGATGGGCCTGATAGCATGATGCTTAAAGTGGTCTTTTCTGGTTAAGGGCCCTCCCATGCCAGGTGTCAGAGTTCACTTTACAAGCCCTGTGACTGGGCCACAAAGCATACCAGCACATCTCTCTCTCTCTCTCTCTCTCTCTCTCTCTCTCTCTCTGTGTGTGTGTGTGTGTGTGTGTGTGTGTGTGTTTCAGGGCGTTTATGCAGATCACCACTTAAATGGGAAGACTGAGAAAGTAGATGACCTCCCTAACATGGGTGAGCTTTAGGACATTACAGGAGAGTCCCTATGGGCCAAAGAGGCAGATCTTCAGCTGTACCAGGGGCATGATTCCCAGTCCCCTGTCCCCAGGGCTGGCCACGGCTCTCATGCTGGAATTCTGTTTCTTCTCTGCCTTTGAATTCAAACTGAAATATTGCTTCTTCCTTTGTCTTAAGCCTGCTAGTGGTAGGCTAGAGCAGTGGTCCTCAACCTTCCCAATGCTGCGACCCTTTAATATAGTTCCTCATGTTGTGGTGACCCCAACCATAAAATTATTTCATCGTTACTTTATAACTGTAATTTTGCTCCTGTTATGAATTGCAATGTAAATATCTGATATGCAGAGTATCT